TGTCACAGTCTTCCACACAGTCTCCTGAGTTTGTTTTTAAGCTGTAAGATCCAAGAGAACTTAAGTCTACAGATTTTCGAGAAAAATCTTTAGTGTAATATCCCAGAGTATATTTATATTAAAAGAAAGTGGAGGCAATGGCCCAAGTGAATATTTCAAATTATAGCTTGAAATATGCAGATAACTAAGACCAAAGAAATAAGGTTGGGGGCTTCGGATTGACTGAGCTACCTCACTCTACTAATTTTCTGTTTCCTATTATATACATGGAAAAAAAAATCACTGCTTGCAGAAAAAGGAAGACTCATTAAACCTAAAGAATTATGCCTATAAAGTTGAAAACCACTGACAAAACACGCCGACATTAGCAGCTATACTTTACATAAGCAGTCAGCATAGAAGCTGTTTTCTGGTTTTAAACATCAAAGCACACATAATCTTACAAAGGATAAAAAGTGCACACGTCGGTTTTCTGTTCTCTTGCAAAGACATTCTGCTGAATTTCAAATATTTTCTTTGAATAATCATGTTTGACAGAGATAATGGTTAATGTTAGGGAGGTAATTAAAATTAATGGCAGCAATGTCCACTGGGCTGTGCCTATGCAGGTGTTTCCCTCTCCTTCTCCCACCTAAACATAAAAATGTTTAATACATAGAGTTATGAGTCTACACATATTTATTAGAAGCAATTGGGTTCAGCCCTTCCTAAACCACATAGAGAAATCCTCTATATAATGAATTATTATGTTTTCTTGACATATAACTTTTTAAAAAGATTTTTTGCGTTACATAAAAATTTAAATACATATTCATCCTATAAAGTGAGCAGGCAGTACTTTAGAAGCATGGTTTCCAATTTTCAACAATGTATCTGTTAAGTCAAATGTTACCAAAGGGTCTGTGAATGTTAGTTTATCAAGCCAAGCAATGCTACTTACTAGGCAGAACTGTAACCACAACTTAATGTTTGGACAACTATGAGGAAATTATCTTTCCCACTCTTTCCCTAGCTACTTATTTGCATTCCTACCTATCTGTCCGTCTGTCCTGTCATACAGTTGATCATCCACCCATCCATTCAGTCATTCATCCAACCAACTTTATACATTTGGTTTCTGGCTTACAGAAGGTCAGGAGAAGGGAATAGGATGGACAGTGGAATCCTGGAGCAAAACTAACATATTAAGCAGGTACCATATTAAGGGAAGGGACAGAAACAAAGACCACAGGCTTCTCTGATAAATGCCACACACTAACTGACACAAAGATGATGTTATATAGCCATCATGATTAACTTGATTATATCCGATATATTCTAATGTTGAAAATTATAATCTTCAAAGGTTACCACAAAACCAACATCTGCCTACACACTCTTTTAAAATGCATTCTTGGTACCTCTTCACCCAGGGTGGAGCCCTCACCCCACCCTGGAATCATCTGTGTAGATGTACAGAATTTGATGGGAGTGATGCCTTGCGGGTTCTGAGGCTCAGCCACAGTAGGGGATGTAGTTCCCCACTTGCTCATTTAACCATCTGGGTGGGAGCTTTGTGCCACTGTGTATTTTTAACTATCTAAGGTCCCTCTGCTGAAAGGCTACAAGAAAAAGGTATTGGAGTTGATATCCCAAGTTGAGTTGCCATTTAGGTGTCCAGCCTAGCAAAATTATCAGATGACTATAATGTCAGGAGTTAGCTGACTGTAACCACATCAGAGTTTCCTACTAAGAACTGTCCAGCCAAACCTAGCTACTCCACAGGACCATAAGGCAGAATACTAAAATGTGATAGTCATCAAGTTTTAGGGTGATTTGTTATGGAGTAATGATTAGTAGGATAGTTAATGAAAATATTAGCACCATGCATAAAGTTCCATTTCACCATTCTATCTTCATTGTACCTTTTTGTTATGAGTAGGTTTTTCCCTGCTGGTCTGGTCCCACCACTGCGCCAGCCCCAAATAACACACAGAGATATAAAGCTGTTGTCCTGTTACTAGTGTTTCCTATTGGCCAGTTCTGTCTTAAATATTAACCCATTTCTATTAATCTAAGTATTTCCACCTGGTCTTATCTTACCAGAGAGAGGGCCCAGACCTCTCTGTTCTTTCCAGTCTCTATATCTTAACTCCTTCTTACTATTTTCTCGAATCCTCCTTGTCTCCTAGTCCTGCCTATCTTTCTTTCCTATTGGCCAGCAGTGTTTTATTCATTACCCAATACGAGAAACATATTTACAGAATGACATCTCCCATCACCTTTTATGTCTGTATATTTAGAGTTGTGAAGTGAGTGCAATTTACGATGCAATCATGTTACTTGTTAATATTGTGTTAGAGCAGTAAGTTTCTCCATAGCAGTGGTTCTCAACTTGTGTGTCATGATCCCTTTGGGAGTAGTGCATCAAATATCATGAATGTCAGATATTTACATTACAATTCATAACAGTAACAAAATTACAGTTATGAAGTAGCAATGAAAGAATTTTACGGTTGGGGGGTTACCACAACATGAGGAACTGTATCAAAGGATCCCAGCATTAGGGAGATTGAGAGCCACTGAAAGAATCAGGTATCAGGAACCCTCAACAAGCAGACTCCCTAGCTTGAAGGATAAGGGTAGTACAAGCTCTGAAATGAGTTCTAGCCATTCATAAATCCTTGCTTTACTACTGACTGATGATGTGAGCATAGGCGGATTAGTTAACCTGTTTCTTCACATTGGAAAAGAGAACCGTAGTAGTGTAGTGAAGTAATATGTATATCGAGGTTTGAAATTCTCATCCTGATATGTACTCTTTAAAGGCTGACTTCAGTACTTAATATCGTCGGGCCTCAGACTCCATCTTTGTTGAATGGGCACTGTTATTAGTAAATATTTACTGCATAATATAGACCCTCAAAACTTAAAAAACTAAATTAAAAGCATATTTTATGCTAGGAAATCTAGTATGGATGGTACTTTTTAAAATATTCACAAAACATTTTTGAATGGGTATTATATTCATGTAATAGGAAAGGATATTTAATAGCCCTTTTCAGGATAGCCCTCTTTAGATTTTGCTATATAATGGATATCATGTCTTTAAGTATAATAATTTATTTTATTTAAAGATGTAGTTATGTTCTGAATATCATATTACTTACTTGATATATTCATTTACCTGGTGACCATTTTCTTTCTTTGTCTAAAATTTCTCTATTACAGCTCTGACACCTATGAACTGTTACTAGGTGACTCTGGGCTGATGAGTGATGGGTATCAGGGTCTCAGTTGAAGCACGGTATCATACAAGAACATCTATGGCCATGCATTAGGCATTATTTGTAAGCACAGTGTTGGGGTGCACTTTGGTATTTAGAGGAACACTGTCAGATCCCATCCAAGTCTAACATATAAAATGCATCTGACAGTCTTGAACATCAAAAATTATTCTGTCTCATATGATGTACAATGTCTGGTAAGAAATTCATGTTGTTTAAAAATCTTAAGCTACATGATCCCGGAATATGATTTTGTTTTTAGATGAACACAATACATTTGCATAGTTTAAATATCTCCGTGCTTTACAGGCTTGGTACCACTGAGTAAATTAATGAAACATTGCATTTTCCTTTGTTCAGAAATTTTCCAGGAGTTGCTCACCATTTTAGACAACCACAGCACAGATGCCAGTGAACTTGAGCTACCTAAATGGAGAGCCTCAGGTGGCTGTGTTAATCTACCCCCATGGTAGCTAACACTTTAGCAGGGACTCTGTGTCGGACACAGCATTATACTGTCAATCGCCTAGTGCTGTTGGGCAAAACATCAGCTATTGAGATGGGTCTGTCATGAATCACTTTCCTCTTATTATTTTTCCTCCATTTTACAGTCTGGGCATGTTATTATTGATTTTTATAAATGTTAGAGTTAGAAGAATTACCTATAATTTTCATTGCAGGAAAATAAATGGCATGTTGAAAATAGTTATTAAAAGTTGAGATTCTCATGAAGAGGCAGTGCCTGGGGACATGATGAGGGAAAGGCAGAGATGTGCAGTCACTTGGGTGTTCCCCCAGGACTCTGTGCTGGGTGTGGGGAGTTACTTAGAAACTGTTCTTCTTCTCTTGAAACCACAGTGTTGACCTGACAGATCCCTAGTACTGATCGCACCGTTCCCACACTAGTACCGATCCCACAGTTCCCACACAGTGACTTATCTTGGCCCTCACTTAGGAGGAAATGCCTAAGCCAGCAGCTCTGAAGAGCAGGGAACTGGTTCATTAATTACAGCTCTTTCATTGATTACCCTGCTCACCCTACAGAGTCTGTTTGTGGCCTGTGTGTGTGTGTGTGTGTGTGTGTGTGTGTGTGTGTGTGTGTTTTCTTTTTCTTTAGTTTGAACTTGGGAGAAAGGTCCTCAATATTTAGTCTGTGTGAAGCCCTTATTATGTAGCCCAGACTAGACTCACAATCCCAGAAATCCCCCTGCCCCAGGCATTCAGGGGTTAGGATTTTAGTTAGAAGCCACCAGGACTGGTTTGTCTCATCAGCCCTTTCTATCTCGTTGCTTGGGCGTGTTCTGTTGAAGTTGGTCTGCCTTCGTCGTTCAAGTGCTCATGTTATGGCCTTGTACCATCAGGCCTCACTCAACTTCATCCAATGTCATTACATCTGTTGTAGGTTTTAAAAACTTTCCTCAGCATTGGTTTGCCCTTCATGTTTTTAGTGCAATTTATTTTGGCATTTACTTTCTAATGTCGAAGATACTTTGGAAGAAAACAGAAAGTAAAGACACATATTAATTAGCATTCTTTAGTTGGACATCATCTTGAGCACTTTAAATGAAGCCAACACTCTTCCACAATTGGCATGCTAACGTTCTTAGTGAGTGGCTATCAGTTTTACTGTAGACAAATATATCCCATGCAATTAAACTATCGGAACTGATTTTTTTTTCTTCTGCTTTGTTTAATAAATTATCAAAAAATTGCAAAAAAGAAAAGATAACTTACAGTCCATATCAAGTGTGGCACGAACAGATCTAACGAGCTCCTTGGATTCCAGAAGCAGGCTTGCTGGGAAGCTGCGTCCATTCCTCCCCAGCAGTGGGAGCGAAGGCTGTGATGCAAACACACCTCTTCTTTCGCTGCATGGGCAATGAAATGGCTTTGAGTACACTGCACAGGAAGCATCACCAGTGCATCTTTGCTAAACCTGAATTGGGGTCCATTATGTTTGTGCAAAAGTATTTCTCATTCTAGGAACATTATGTTCATAGAGCTACACAAGAACTCAGTCACATAGATTTCTGCTCTCACTTGCTTATTATATAGTAAATAGGCACATTTTAAGAAGTATTGCGGTAAATAAGGATCAGGATAAACAAATAGGCGCAATAAAGAAGTACTTTCACTTTATGTATAAGAAGGACGTAAATGAAGGATAGCTTACATCTTAAATAATTTGTTGGATCTTTTGTTTCATTTTGTAAAATTTCAGACTAAACATATAAATGTTAGTTTATTAAACAGATGTTTTTTATTTTTTATAGTAATATTAAATATAAATTCAATACAAATATATTTACTTAAGAAATTATCTTTTAAATTCTCCCATTTGATTTTCCTAATTACAGAATAGCCTAAAGGCATATATATTATTATGACATTTGAATTTACTTTTTTATTAATAAATTTTGTTCCTTGACAATTTCATACCTGTACAGAACATATTCTGGTTATGCTATTTATCCTTATTCCCCTCCCATCCTGCCAGACCCCTATCCCCCTTGTAAGTCTCTTTTCACATATTCATAATAGTTTTTGTTTTGTGTTCCAGAGTTTAACTAAGGTATCGTCTGAAATGCATTATGATGTAAATTTTAAAAAAAACATTTTCCTCAAAAGAACTACACTCAAGATTTTATTTGAAGGAGACAGATGACTTTGTATTGAAAACAAAATCGGTATTTACAACCCACCTTCTTAAACATGATGACATTAATTCACAAGGATAAATGTAAGAAATCTCCAATTCATATACATAGCCTTTACTCTGTGTTAAATGACCAAGGCCAACCCATATAGAAGAGGTGGTATATTAAGAATGGCCAAGATCATAGCAGTGTTTAACTTGTAAGACACAGCAAAAATTGCTTACTGTAGCTTTTAAAGTGGCTTTTTTTCCCCTCTAAGAACTGCTTTAGGGTAAGCATTGGCTGTTGGCAACTAATTATTTTTAAACTTGGTATTTAATACCAAAAATCTGAATTAGTACGGGTCAAAGCGAGACTGAAGGGATGGGACACACTTGATGTGTAAAACAGGAATAAGGCTTCTGAGCAGTTTAAAATCCTTACTAAAACAATATTCATAGAATTCACGGGATTACATTGTAAGCAGCAGAGTTAACAACAAATATGACTGATTCTTTCATAGTAAGAAATGAAACACTAAATTAACATAAAAGTCAGGAACTGTAGGCATTATTTCCTTAAAAAAAAAAAAGTCTCACTGTGGCCACGCTGGCTGGTCTTGAATTCAACAGAGATGCTCCTGTCTCAGTCTCCCAAGTGTTGGTATTATTGCAGGCAGAAGCCATGGTGTAGCTCTAATTTCTTCTATTGAACTACTGTTTTCTCAGTAATAGTGTTTCTGCAAGTGGTGCTGGTGGAGATGGACACAGTAGGAACTACGACAGTCATAAGGAAACAAGTACTTTCAATGTAGACCAGTAAGACTATTTCTTCTGTGTATGCCTGCCCTTCATCCTGTATCAAAGTGAGTGAAAAGTCATGGCTTGAGACAGACAAAGCGTACTTGTATGTTTGCAGCTCTAAGGAGGAATCCTGAAGACAGCAGCAGCATGCTACGAATAATAACAAATCAAGGTGCAGTCTACAAACATACTTCTTTTATTTATATCACTGAATGGTGAAAATGAAGGAAGTTGATTGTGTGAATATGTTTTGCAAAATTCTACTTGACGTAACGCATCTGCCAGGCTGAGCCCCTCTTTGGCAGTGCATCTGCCACCAGCAGCTTCCCTACACACAGACAGGATGTGTGAATCCTCAGCCTTAAGAGTACAAAGTTACAATGGCTGTCTAAATGCTTCCAGCAGCTTCTTTTAGAGATGGAACCTAAACAGCATGTTCTTGCACTTCCTTCCAAAAAGTTAAAAAAAAAAAAAAAAAAAAAAAAAAAAAGAGCATTCAGTGGGAATCATGGAATCATGCAGCATCCTCAGCATCCTAAAGCTGACCTAGAGGTTAGCCACAAATATATGCAAAGAAATTAGTGTTCATATGCTGTGGAGAGCAACACATTCTTACCTCAAATTTGAGAAAGGAGCAGAACTATCCAAAAGCACTTCCTGAGCAGTCTAGGGACAAACAGCATAGTAAAGGAGATTTGTAAGCTTGATAGCTTAAAAACAAAACCAAAAACTTTTCTTGGTTAATTAACACTTATAATTTCCCCTTCATTGAGTATGTAGATGTTCTTATTATGGTGGGTGAGTGAATTATGTTAACTTGAAGATAACTATAAGGTATTTATTTATTTAAAATATTTATATTGTGTGTGTGTGCATGTGCGTGTGCACATGTACCTGTGTGAAAACACCTGTTGAGGCTAGAAGAGGGTGTTGGGTTCCTTGGAACTGGAGTTAAAGTGGTTGGAATTAAGGTGGTTCTGAGTCACCTGACATGGGTGCTGGGAAGGTAATTCATAAGAGCAGCAAGCACTCCTAACTGGTAAGGTAAGCCATCTCTCTAGTACTTCATGATAGCGTAAATAATTACCAAATTATGTTTACATGGTATCAGAATTTGTAGGGAAGTATTCATTAAAGCACAGTGTATTTTATTATACACATACTTATTACTAACTATATAATGTTAACTATTCTTTTTTATATACCAAGGCAAATCTAAATATAATTGTAAGTTAGAATTGTTATATTGAAACAGAGGTGTTTCTGTAGTCTTCAAACACTCTGACATTTTTCTGTGATGGTACTTATTTCCTCTCCCTCCCTCCTTTCCTTTCTCCATCTTTTCCTCTTGCAAATGCTAGGCCAGTGGTCTACCGTAGAAGTATATTTCCAACCATCTTTTAAACTTTTTATTTTGAGACAAGGTCTCATTAAGTTGCCTAGAATGGCCTTAGATTTGCTACCTTTCAGCCTCAGGATCCTAAGAAGCTAGGTTACAACCTTGTGCCATCAGGCCTGGCAAGATTTTTTATTTTAAAAAACAATGTAACATAGTTATTTCTCAGTTACCTGGGTATATCAAAATCCACAGATGCTCAAGTGGTTTACTAGGTATGCATGTGATCTGCATTGTCTATGGATTCTTTACATCATCTCTAGATGACTTATAAATAACACAATATAGCTTTTATGGAATTTTTTTTAAATGGTCTCTTGTATTCAAAATAAGAACAGGATTTTTTTTTCTACACTTGCTTCCTACTGAAGCAACCACCTCAGGCCTGAGCACATGGTATCCAAATGAGAAATGAGGTGAATGGCACTCTAGGGAGTACTGGAAAAAGACTACTGTGACTCTAGTGGGGTATGACTACATGTCACTCCATTTGCATAGTCAGCATAGCGCTAGGTGTGGTTTGTGGAAATTCCTGGAGGTTTTGTTCCTGGATCTTTTCATTCCATGGGTGGCTGTGGAATCCAAGGAAATGGAGGGTCAACTTCAGAGAAAACTTACCTCTACAAAATGAAGGAGGCGTTCAGTAGATGCCTTGAAAGTTTTCCGAGCCATTTCTGATTTTCGCAATTGGCAGTCAAGCACTGTGACTCTCTTTCTCAAGTCCTGGATACTTTCCTGGACAAAGATGACAAAAGCAACAACACTGTCCACATGTCTTCACTTTCAACAACTTCTTCCCATTTTTAACTTCCTTAAACTGATATCTGACAATACCATTTCATGTATTGTCTTTATTTGACAAATAGGTTCTGATTTTGAGGGGAGGTGGAATATAACTGATTAAATATTTAAAAGTCAATTTCCACCCAGACACTTTAAGTTCTATGACATATTTTACATATGACTTTTATTGATTTTTACATGACTTACATTCAACTAACTTTTTTGGAAGAACTTATTTTAACAGAGGGTAACAGAAAAGCCTTTCATGGATAGCATAGCCCAAAGCGCTGAATATATAAACACATATGCACACGTGTACACACACACACACACACACACACACACACACACACACACACTTGAATGTGAGGTTGATCTACTGACAACAAAGGAGTAAAAGAATTCTAAGAAGAACAGCTGCAGTGCCCAGTGACCCACAGTGGTTGGTGCATGCTGAAGCATCGTTTGCTCCTGATCCTAGAGGTCCACATTGTTTGTTTAAACAGACACACATGACATGCAAAACTGTGGTGGGTAAATGAGTGGATTTCACAGTACAGGAACTCTGATTTTGGCTCTGGTCAGTAGAAAGAGTCTGTTCTGAGTAATTTCCAAGTGTAAGGCCCTACCCAGTAATGCTGAAACAATAACTGCTAGAAAAACACAGGAGATTTTGGGGTTGAATTTATATTATTGAGGTGACATGAAAAACCGATGACCTTAAATTCTTTCTTAAATGAGTCCTAGGTTAAGAGGATCAGAAACAAAATTTCCCTGGAAGCTATTTTCTAAATTGAGATTTCATAAAATTTCCATAATTGTGTGTCAAAAGAACATGAAGTCACAATAAAAAAAATCACTAAAAGTGAAGAAATATGTTTTATGAACTGACAATCAGATAATTAATCATCATATCTAAAAGAGTGTATATATTAACCAGGCACATAAATATAATTATATTTAGAATTTTGGAAAAGAGAATTGAAAATATAATAGGCCTTTAATCCCAGCACTTAGGAAACAAAGGAGGCAGATGTCTGTGAGTTCAAGGCCAGCGTGGTCTACAGAATGAGTTCCAGGACAGCCAGGGCTACACAGAGAAACCTCTCATTAAAAAAATAGTAAATAAATAATAAAACAAAATAAAGAAAATACAACAGGACAAGAAACTCAAAAGTGATGTAAATCATATTAAGAATATAGTCATTAAATTAGAACACAACAAAAATGCCCAATTTCATACACCTAACAAGACAATGGAGAAACTAGAAAATAGATGTAGCAAAATTTCTGAGGACTAAACAGACGGTAAAATTTGAACTACGAATAAAGAAGAGACAAGTGAACACAAGCGGGCCTCTTGAATTGCACACAGGGAAACAGTACCGGGGCTGAAGAGATGGTTTGCTACTCAAGATCGCTTTCTGTTCTTACAGAGGACCTGGGTCCAGTACCCAGAACATACAAGGCAGCTCACAGCTGGCTGCAACTCCAGTTCTAGGGATGTGACACCCTTTGCTGACCTTAGCACACCAGTCATATACATGGTACACATACTTACAGGCAAAATGCTCATGCACTTAAAATGAATTAGTAAATAAAGTTTTTTGTTTGTTTGTTTTTGTTTTTAAAGGTGGGCATTGTGGATTGTGCTGCACACCTTTAATCCCACACTTAGGAGGCAGAGACAGGGGGATCTATATGAGTTCAAGGGTAGGCTGGCATACATTGTGAGATCTTGGAGATGGGGGAAGAGGAAGAGAGAGAGAGAGAAAGAGAGAGAGAGAGAGGGAGGGAGGGAAGGAGGGAGAGAGAGAGAGAGAGAGAGAGAGAGAATGAGATCAATTGGGATGAAAGTTTCAGGGCTTTCCAGAAATGGCAAGACAATGATCCTCCAATTAGGAAGTTGGATGTATTTCAAACAGCATAAATTACAATAGATCAGATCAACAAATGACTCATGGGGTTAAAAACACTAATATCAAAGGCAAAGATGTTTTAAAAATCATACAGAAGGAAACACATTACAAATGATTGATAGCTGACATGATAGCATGAAAAAAAAAACAATGACAAAGTTATATGGTAACATAATATTCTAAATATATCTGAATGTATTTTAAAAGTTGATTTTCAGAGAAACCAAGTGGAGAGTTTATTATCAACAGATTGTCACTAAGTGAATTTGAAGCAACTGTTTTAGGAAGCAAGAAAGCCTGAGATGTAATACGGAACTATGAACAAATGGTCTAAGCATAGGGTCTACCCAGACCAACTTGGACCCCATGAAACAAACTGTAAAAAGTGATAAAGTCAAGACAGAACTGAAATTCCACCAGCAACAGAAATTAAGGAGGGAGAAAAGGTTAGGTTTATGTTCAAAAGTGCTCTTAATATGTAGATGAGGGAACATCACTGATTTATTTCATAACAAGTTAATATAGAATGTCAAGCATTCTAGGATAACCATTAAAAAATTGGAGATACAGGAGATTGAGGAGATTGAGAGATGATTTAAGAGTCAGGAGCACAGGCAGTTCTTGCAGGGGACTCAGTCTGGATTCTCCATACCCCACATTGTGGTTTATAACACGATTTTTACCAAAATCATGCCCCAAGTGAAAGAAGTTCCTTCCGAAGATACAGCCAAAGCATAGGCATGCTGGAAGGTGTCATTCAAGGCCCAGGACCCTGTGGCTGCAGAGGAAGCTTAAATACCCTCACAATAGAACCTCCAGGAGACACAGGCATGCCCACTGTGCCAGCATCAAGTTGCCCTGACAGCTAAGTCAGCCACGAAGAAGACAGAAGATCACCCACTCGTGTTCATTGTGAATGCCAAGTCCAGCATTCATCAGATAGGAAAGGCTGTGACATTGGTCAAACCTGATGCAGAGAAGGGGATATCTATGTGGCTCCTGATAACAATGCTCTGGATGTTGTAAACAAAATTGGACTCATCTAATCTGAGTCCAGCTGTTAATTCTAAAGACAAGTTTGTTACCATAAATATATTGGAGACTACTGAGGCCTAGGACACAAAATTCAGAATGGCAGAGTGACCTGATTGCCAGTGGAACTATACCCCTCCCTGGATTCTGTCCTCCCCATAACTCTTCCCTTAGGCCAAAGTCATCCCAGCTTATCCCTGGCCCTACTGCTGTTGGGTCTCCACCCTCAACCCCAGTGGACTTCTGCCACTAAGTTAGAGACCACACCAGACACACACCACCTCACCGGTTGACAAGCCTCTCTTCCCAAGAACTCCAGCAGACTCCAGAAACAGTCCACACCAGTTGGAAGAACAGACATGATAGGCCCATGTACAGTCCATGCCAGTCAGGAGAACAACCCCAGCAGCACTGTTGGAGGCCAGGCTAGATCTAGAGACCCAAGATGATTTGTTTTACTGGATGCCGGACCAGATCAAGGGACCAAAGGCCCCCAAAACTTCAGCAGAGACACCCTATGGGACCTGAAGACTAACCAGTCACCAGAATCCTTGGATACTTAGGCCAGAAGAACAGAGAAGAAATAGAAATCAAGAGAAAAAGACACCCATCCAACAAAGACAAACACAGAAATCAACACCTACACCAATAATCATGCCAAATCCAGACAACTAAATGCAAATATAAGAACATATTAACAGAAAGGGCAACTTCACCACCAGAACCCAGCTACCTTACCACAGCAAGACCTAAACATTCTAGTACAGCTGAAGCACAAGAAAATGACCTTAAAAGTAACTTTATGAAGATGATAGAGGTCCTTAAAGAGGAAATGAAAACAATCTCTGAAAGAAATGGATGAAAAGACAACCAAAAAATTAGAGGAAATCAGTCATCTCTTAAAGAATGTCAGGAAATCAAGGGGGAGGGGCAAACAGTTGATAGAAACAAATAGAACTGTTCAAGACCTGAAAATGGAAATAGAAGCAATAAAGAAAAGACAAACTAAAGGGATTCTGGAAATGGAAAATCTGGGTAAGCGACAAAAGCATCACCAAGAGAATACAAGAGATTGAAGAGAAAATAACAGACATTGAAAATATGATAGAGGAGATAGATTCATCAGTTAAAGAAAATATGAAATTCCAATAAATTCCTAGCACAAAACACCCAGGAATCTGGGACACTATGAAAAAGATCAAACCCAAGAATAACATGGATAGAAGAAGGAAAAGCATACCACCAGCTCAATAGCCCAGAAAATATATTTGACAAAATCAGAAGAGAAATTTCCCAACCTAAATAAGGACATAACTATAAAGGTACAAAAAGCTTACATAACACCAAATAGACTGGATTAGATACAAAGTCCCCTCCCCACATATTAATCCAGACATTAGACATGCAGAATAAAAAAAGAATATTAAAAGCTACAAAGGAAAATGGCCAAGTAACATATAAAGGAAGATCTTTCAGAATTACACCCGATTTCTCAATGGAGAATCTAAAAGCCAGAGGAGCCTAGACATACCTCTTGCAGACTCTAAGAGATCACGGATGCCAGCCGAGACTACTAACCTAGAAAATCTTTCAACCACCATAGATGGAAAAAACAAGATACTTCATGACAAAGTCAAATATAATGATAATCTGTCCACAAATCCACCTCTACAGAAGGTACTAGAAGGAAACCTCCAATCCAAAGAAGTTAAGGACACCCACAAAAATACAGGCAATAGATAATCCCACACCAGCAAAACCCAAAGAAGGGAACACACACACACCATCACTATCGGCAGCACCACTCCCACATTACTACCAAATAATTAACAATCACTAGTCATTAATATCAATGAACGCAATTCTCCAATCAAAAGACACAGGCTAACAGAATAGATATGAAAACAGGATCCACCTTTCTGCTGCATACAAGAAACACACCTTAACAACAAAGACAGACATCTCAGAGTAAAAGGTTGGAAAAGATTTTCCAATTAAATG